TCAGGATGAAAAAACCACCTCAGATCAGTTGAATGAGAAGACAAGTCAAAAGAAAATTGACCGTAGAATGACTAATGAAGAAAATAAATTAGATTACAGAAAGGAAAGTGCGTTGAAATTGCTTCCATCTTGATATTCATCTCTCTTAGAAAAGAACCTGTAGTTCGAAGTGAGAAAAAGACACTAAACAGCACAACGATTTGTTATCTGACCTATGTGCTCCACTCAGAACAGGAGCAATCCTCTGTTATATGCATCGGTATTCGGAAAACAATTCAACCGGAGAAGGCATATCATTCCATGTTAGAATCAGAACGGGTTGATGCCTACTCTCCATCACCTTGAATTGAAGTTTGGTCTGTACTTTTGAGAGGGCCCTGAGGGCTTCCAAAAGGGTAGAGAATATTTGCCTATGGCATTCGTCACAGAAAAAGAAATAGGAGAAGTGTCCTTCATCTGGGAGCTTATGCACAATGGCATTTGGCAGAACCCGGGCCACATAATCAGTCATCGATGGTGGGACGACCTGATCATCCATTCCCTGTTTAGCATCACCAAATTCAGAAAAAAGAAAATGAAACATCAAATGAATAGATATCTTGAATTAAGCCATAATTGTTCTAAGTTTCACAGTTATGACTTTGGGCATACAGTCTCGTTCCCCCTTGGTAAGGGAGTTTGTGGAATTGAAATAATTAACACTAAAATGAAAATAAGATGCCTGCAAACCTGCCATATGTGAATTGGGCCTAGGAATCCAGTCAATTCACATTCTGCCTGACTATACACGAGCTTGAGCCAAGGTAGAATGCCTTTCCTGGGGCACTTCTTCTGCACTTGAAGGTCTGCCAGGCTAAAACCCCAGTTTGACACCAGTAGCACAGCTTCCTCTATGAATGGTTTTGTGCTTCCCTGACGAATTGACTCCTCAACATCCCGGTGCCAAAATTCTTCAAACTTCGGTTCTTCAATCAACGCCTTATCCTAAATGAATCACATTTTGTCACATAAGGCATCTCAAAGAAGGAAGCTACTTTCCAGTTAAGTCTATGAATGATAGCAGTGTATGGGTTCAATAGAAATCTTTACACCAGTATCCAACAGACTACTAGTTTTGCAACAGTTGGATGAGTATATGCAATTCGACCCACCGAAAAAGGTCAGATGAAATTTTTACAGAGCATATCCAAAGCTTATAGGATAAGCCATTGTCAACAACAGAACAAACTTTAGCACATCAAGATCATTACAAAATTGTAGGGATGAAGTTGTTGTTTACAAACAAGTTCCTACTTACACCAGTTGACCCCCCCCCCCCCCCCCCCCCCCCCCCCCCCCCCCCCCCCCCCCCCCCCCCCCCCCCCCCCCCCCCCCCCCCCCCCCCCCCCCCCCCCCCCCCCCCCCCCCCCCCCCCCCCCCCCCCCCCCCCCCCCCCCCCCCCCCCCCCCCCCCCCCCCCCCCCCCCCCCCCCCCCCCCCCCCCCCCCCCCCCCCCCCCCCCCCCCCCCCCCCCCCCCCCCCCCCCCCCCCCCCCCCCCCCCCCCCCCCCCCCCCCCCCCCCCCCCCCCCCCCCCCCCCCCCCCCCCCCCCCCCCCCCCCCCCCCCCCCCCCCCCCCCCCCCCCCCCCCCCCCCCCCCCCCCCCCCCCCCCCCCCCCCCCCCCCCCCCCCCCCCCCCCCCCCCCCCCCCCCCCCCCCCCCCCCCCCCCCCCCCCCCCCCCCCCCCCCCCCCCCCCCCCCCCCCCCCCCCCCCCCCCCCCCCCCCCCCCCCCCCCCCCCCCCCCCCCCCCCCCCCCCCCCCCCCCCCCCCCCCCCCCCCCCCCCCCCCCCCCCCCCCCCCCCCCCCCCCCCCCCCCCCCCCCCCCCCCCCCCCCCCCCCCCCCCCCCCCCCCCCCCCCCCCCCCCCCCCCCCCCCCCCCCCCCCCCCCCCCCCCCCCCCCCCCCCCCCCCCCCCCCCCCCCCCCCCCCCCCCCCCCCCCCCCCCCCCCCCCCCCCCCCCCCCCCCCCCCCCCCCCCCCCCCCCCCCCCCCCCCCCCCCCCCCCCCCCCCCCCCCCCCCCCCCCCCCCCCCCCCCCCCCCCCCCCCCCCCCCCCCCCCCCCCCCCCCCCCCCCCCCCCCCCCCCCCCCCCCCCCCCCCCCCCCCCCCCCCCCCCCCCCCCCCCCCCCCCCCCCCCCCCCCCCCCCCCCCCCCCCCCCCCCCCCCCCCCCCCCCCCCCCCCCCCCCCCCCCCCCCCCCCCCCCCCCCCCCCCCCCCCCCCCCCCCCCCCCCCCCCCCCCCCCCCCCCCCCCCCCCCCCCCCCCCCCCCCCCCCCCCCCCCCCCCCCCCCCCCCCCCCCCCCCCCCCCCCCCCCCCCCCCCCCCCCCCCCCCCCCCCCCCCCCCCCCCCCCCCCCCCCCCCCCCCCCCCCCCCCCCCCCCCCCCCCCCCCCCCCCCCCCCCCCCCCCCCCCCCCCCCCCCCCCCCCCCCCCCCCCCCCCCCCCCCCCCCCCCCCCCCCCCCCCCCCCCCCCCCCCCCCCCCCCCCCCCCCCCCCCCCCCCCCCCCCCCCCCCCCCCCCCCCCCCCCCCCCCCCCCCCCCCCCCCCCCCCCCCCCCCCCCCCCCCCCCCCCCCCCCCCCCCCCCCCCCCCCCCCCCCCCCCCCCCCCCCCCCCCCCCCCCCCCCCCCCCCCCCCCCCCCCCCCCCCCCCCCCCCCCCCCCCCCCCCCCCCCCCCCCCCCCCCCCCCCCCCCCCCCCCCCCCCCCCCCCCCCCCCCCCCCCCCCCCCCCCCCCCCCCCCCCCCCCCCCCCCCCCCCCCCCCCCCCCCCCCCCCCCCCCCCCCCCCCCCCCCCCCCCCCCCCCCCCCCCCCCCCCCCCCCCCCCCCCCCCCCCCCCCCCCCCCCCCCCCCCCCCCCCCCCCCCCCCCCCCCCCCCCCCCCCCCCCCCCCCCCCCCCCCCCCCCCCCCCCCCCCCCCCCCCCCCCCCCCCCCCCCCCCCCCCCCCCCCCCCCCCCCCCCCCCCCCCCCCCCCCCCCCCCCCCCCCCCCCCCCCCCCCCCCCCCCCCCCCCCCCCCCCCCCCCCCCCCCCCCCCCCCCCCCCCCCCCCCCCCCCCCCCCCCCCCCCCCCCCCCCCCCCCCCCCCCCCCCCCCCCCCCCCCCCCCCCCCCCCCCCCCCCCCCCCCCCCCCCCCCCCCCCCCCCCCCCCCCCCCCCCCCCCCCCCCCCCCCCCCCCCCCCCCCCCCCCCCCCCCCCCCCCCCCCCCCCCCCCCCCCCCCCCCCCCCCCCCCCCCCCCCCCCCCCCCCCCCCCCCCCCCCCCCCCCCCCCCCCCCCCCCCCCCCCCCCCCCCCCCCCCCCCCCCCCCCCCCCCCCCCCCCCCCCCCCCCCCCCCCCCCCCCCCCCCCCCCCCCCCCCCCCCCCCCCCCCCCCCCCCCCCCCCCCCCCCCCCCCCCCCCCCCCCCCCCCCCCCCCCCCCCCCCCCCCCCCCCCCCCCCCCCCCCCCCCCCCCCCCCCCCCCCCCCCCCCCCCCCCCCCCCCCCCCCCCCCCCCCCCCCCCCCCCCCCCCCCCCCCCCCCCCCCCCCCCCCCCCCCCCCCCCCCCCCCCCCCCCCCCCCCCCCCCCCCCCCCCCCCCCCCCCCCCCCCCCCCCCCCCCCCCCCCCCCCCCCCCCCCCCCCCCCCCCCCCCCCCCCCCCCCCCCCCCCCCCCCCCCCCCCCCCCCCCCCCCCCCCCCCCCCCCCCCCCCCCCCCCCCCCCCCCCCCCCCCCCCCCCCCCCCCCCCCCCCCCCCCCCCCCCCCCCCCCCCCCCCCCCCCCCCCCCCCCCCCCCCCCCCCCCCCCCCCCCCCCCCCCCCCCCCCCCCCCCCCCCCCCCCCCCCCCCCCCCCCCCCCCCCCCCCCCCCCCCCCCCCCCCCCCCCCCCCCCCCCCCCCCCCCCCCCCCCCCCCCCCCCCCCCCCCCCCCCCCCCCCCCCCCCCCCCCCCCCCCCCCCCCCCCCCCCCCCCCCCCCCCCCCCCCCCCCCCCCCCCCCCCCCCCCCCCCCCCCCCCCCCCCCCCCCCCCCCCCCCCCCCCCCCCCCCCCCCCCCCCCCCCCCCCCCCCCCCCCCCCCCCCCCCCCCCCCCCCCCCCCCCCCCCCCCCCCCCCCCCCCCCCCCCCCCCCCCCCCCCCCCCCCCCCCCCCCCCCCCCCCCCCCCCCCCCCCCCCCCCCCCCCCCCCCCCCCCCCCCCCCCCCCCCCCCCCCCCCCCCCCCCCCCCCCCCCCCCCCCCCCCCCCCCCCCCCCCCCCCCCCCCCCCCCCCCCCCCCCCCCCCCCCCCCCCCCCCCCCCCCCCCCCCCCCCCCCCCCCCCCCCCCCCCCCCCCCCCCCCCCCCCCCCCCCCCCCCCCCCCCCCCCCCCCCCCCCCCCCCCCCCCCCCCCCCCCCCCCCCCCCCCCCCCCCCCCCCCCCCCCCCCCCCCCCCCCCCCCCCCCCCCCCCCCCCCCCCCCCCCCCCCCCCCCCCCCCCCCCCCCCCCCCCCCCCCCCCCCCCCCCCCCCCCCCCCCCCCCCCCCCCCCCCCCCCCCCCCCCCCCCCCCCCCCCCCCCCCCCCCCCCCCCCCCCCCCCCCCCCCCCCCCCCCCCCCCCCCCCCCCCCCCCCCCCCCCCCCCCCCCCCCCCCCCCCCCCCCCCCCCCCCCCCCCCCCCCCCCCCCCCCCCCCCCCCCCCCCCCCCCCCCCCCCCCCCCCCCCCCCCCCCCCCCCCCCCCCCCCCCCCCCCCCCCCCCCCCCCCCCCCCCCCCCCCCCCCCCCCCCCCCCCCCCCCCCCCCCCCCCCCCCCCCCCCCCCCCCCCCCCCCCCCCCCCCCCCCCCCCCCCCCCCCCCCCCCCCCCCCCCCCCCCCCCCCCCCCCCCCCCCCCCCCCCCCCCCCCCCCCCCCCCCCCCCCCCCCCCCCCCCCCCCCCCCCCCCCCCCCCCCCCCCCCCCCCCCCCCCCCCCCCCCCCCCCCCCCCCCCCCCCCCCCCCCCCCCCCCCCCCCCCCCCCCCCCCCCCCCCCCCCCCCCCCCCCCCCCCCCCCCCCCCCCCCCCCCCCCCCCCCCCCCCCCCCCCCCCCCCCCCCCCCCCCCCCCCCCCCCCCCCCCCCCCCCCCCCCCCCCCCCCCCCCCCCCCCCCCCCCCCCCCCCCCCCCCCCCCCCCCCCCCCCCCCCCCCCCCCCCCCCCCCCCCCCCCCCCCCCCCCCCCCCCCCCCCCCCCCCCCCCCCCCCCCCCCCCCCCCCCCCCCCCCCCCCCCCCCCCCCCCCCCCCCCCCCCCCCCCCCCCCCCCCCCCCCCCCCCCCCCCCCCCCCCCCCCCCCCCCCCCCCCCCCCCCCCCCCCCCCCCCCCCCCCCCCCCCCCCCCCCCCCCCCCCCCCCCCCCCCCCCCCCCCCCCCCCCCCCCCCCCCCCCCCCCCCCCCCCCCCCCCCCCCCCCCCCCCCCCCCCCCCCCCCCCCCCCCCCCCCCCCCCCCCCCCCCCCCCCCCCCCCCCCCCCCCCCCCCCCCCCCCCCCCCCCCCCCCCCCCCCCCCCCCCCCCCCCCCCCCCCCACCCCCCCCCCCCCCCCCCCCCCCCCCCCCCCCCCCCCCCCCCCCCCCCCCCCCCCCCCCCCCCCCCCCCCCCCCCCCCCCCCCCCCCCCCCCCCCCCCCCCCCCCCCCCCCCCCCCCCCCCCCCCCCCCCCCCCCCCCCCCCCCCCCCCCCCCCCCCCCCCCCCCCCCCCCCCCCCCCCCCCCCCCCCCCCCCCCCCCCCCCCCCCCCCCCCCCCCCCCCCCCCCCCCCCCCCCCCCCCCCCCCCCCCCCCCCCCCCCCCCCCCCCCCCCCCCCCCCCCCCCCCCCCCCCCCCCCCCCCCCCCCCCCCCCCCCCCCCCCACCCCCCCCCCCCCCCCCCCCCCCCCCCCCCCCCCCCCCCCCCCCCCCCCCCCCCCCCCCCCCCCCCCCCCCCCCCCCCCCCCCCCCCCCCCCCCCCCCCCCCCCCCCCCCCCCCCCCCCCCCCCCCCCCCCCCCCCCCCCCCCCCC